TTGTTATAGATGAACTTTTACAAAAGTAGTTAGTTTTATTTTTTATTTTTTATTTTTATTATTTTATTAATTTTTATTTTTAAAAATAGAATTTGTGCTGAAGAAGAAGCAGAAGAAGGACATGAATTTCGTATTCGTGCATCGGATGAATATTATCAAGAAAATGCACGTCCAGCACGAGAAAATATTAGTGAACAACCAAAATATGATATTGATGAACATTGGTGTGCTATCCATGTTTTACAAACACAATATACATTACAAATAATTCGTTGTCATTCAGTTGAATGTTGTGGACCATGGCGTTCAAATTATGATGAAGTATTTCCTCATCGATTTTTACCAGCACCTATACCATTTGAACGTACACCATATGGTCTTAGAGTGGCCGAGAGAGATTATCAAAGAGGACAATTTTATGGATCATTATTTCAACGAATTCAATATCATGGTGTTGTTATTCAACATACACAGGTTAGAAAACAAAAATGTTTATTCGTTATCAACAATTGAATAGAAATCAAGATATCGATGAAACAATTTTATTCTCACTTCTGATCATGTCTGCCAATCTCTAATACCTTAGGAACAATATATTTTACTTCCAGTAAGATATGAAGTCATGGGTATTGAATCCATGCGTAGCACTTTCATATAGACTAATAAAAAGAAAGAAAGAATCATGATAGAAATAAGATCTAACGGTTCAACTAGATGATCCTTATTCGATTTAATGTTGATTATTCTACTCGTTGGTAGCCATGATTCTACCAAAAATATACAATGACATCTGTAGTTTTGTACTACTTTTAATTATTGAAAGACTTCAATTGAGATAGATGATCTTGTTTATGTCAAATATAATATCGAAGAATGAGATTACAAGATATTATATCGGTCAAAACATAAAAGGAAGCAGAACTTACTAAAAAATTAGTTGATACACCTGCCCACACAACTCATATGCCAAAAATAAAGAATGTATTGTAAGTCGAAATTTTTTCATATTTCCTCATATCAAGTAAAGACTAATCCTTTGTCATATTTTTTACAAAAAAAAATACATATTATTGGTTAATTTAGCGTCAAGAAAAAAAATTTTTTTTTTCTTTTCAGAATGAAATGTTACCATTTGATTACTGTTGTTCATCAGTGAAAAAAGAATTAAAAAAACGTACATGTAGAATATGTAATCAATATATTCCATCGGCATATCGTATGAAAAATCATTATAAAATTCATGCACAAAATTATGAACATTTTGATCATGATCAAGAGGATAAATTACCATCACTACCAATAAATGATATAACAATTGATTCAAAGGAAATTCAATCATTAACACCAGCAGCATTAGCACCTGTAGTTAAAATCGAAATGTTAGATTGGCTTCGATCAGACTTTGATGATATTGATTTGAATCGACCAACATCACAACTTTCAAGTGAACGTGTTACACGTTCTATGAAAAAATTATGTGTTGAAGAAAGTAACGATGAATTGGATATTAAAGATTTCATTCACGTAGACTAAAAACATTTAATAATAATCTTTAATTGTTATTTTCTTTTTCATTTTAGCTTTTGTTTTTTTTTTTGGTAGCATTGTTCTTTCGACTATTTCTTTTTTTAAATCTGTTGTGAAGAAATTTTTCAATGTACGATAATAATTTTTTCTTGATTGATAATGAACATGAATATGTTTTAGATCTTGAGAATAAAAAGTACATTTAAATGTAATTTCAGAAGAGAAATCATGCCGTTCTTATTATAAAAAACAATTCTATGAAATAGATTATAACTAAGTTAAACGTATATTATTGATTGTCATTACTACCAATCTATTGACTTCTACTGATTCATTTTTGTGTAGTGTGAATTATAAAGAAGACTAATACAACTCTTTGCATATTGCATGGTTGATGCACAAACAAATGTTTGGCAACATAGTTGACATCATTGCAAAACGTTAGTCGCCTCAAAATCACCTGTATCTTTTGATTTTTAAGCTTGAAAATCAAAAACTTTTCAATATAAAACTATCTTTGTTTTTTCACCTTTAATATGATGTAGATATGGATGAGAGTGAGCATAGGGAAGATGTAGATGCAAATCATTACGTGAACATTTGCTAATAGTTCAGTAGACTTGGATCTCATGGATTCTTATCTGATTTGTTCACTGAATTGATTGGTATTTCTCCATTAACCTTATTGACTCTATTGCCTTAACATCTCACATACCGTTAAAATCGATTCTTGCGGTAGTATCATTGTATAAAGACCATTAATTTCAAAATTATATAAAAGACTCTGATTGGTAGTCTAATGATTTCTTGTAGATGTTTCACTTAAATGCACCTTCCAAAATCGTGAGTTATGATCATCATCCAATGGTTTTCTTTCACTAATACGAAATACGGTATGCATTGAAAAGAAGATTTTTTTTTTCTTGCTCTTGAAAATAGCTGTATTTATCAAGTGATACAAATGGTACCGATGATATCGATGGATCAATATTTATTTCGAATAGAACAGTCACTTTTTCCAGCTTCTATAAAACTTTTCGAGAAAAACATAGTGAAACTTTTTTTGATGTACTTGTCGACAAAAAAATTGTTAAATGAAATCAGACCATCTTGATTTTGTTTCCTTCGATGAAACCCCGTGGGTAATATCCTATTCCGATTAAAAATGAATAAAAGATCTACCTATTTTTGCCACTACATGCAGGAAACATATATGATGACAATTAATACTCTCAATCAGCTTCCTCATAATATCTTTTCGTGGACTCGAAATTTGTGGAGAATGAACAAAAAAGTCCGTTTACTCAATTTTTGAACCTATCTTTTGCTTTTTAAGGTCTATTTAGACCTGTTCTCATTGACAGTTACATGTCGAAAGTTTATTCTTTTTCTAAAAGTATCGTTTGTACGGTCGACAAATGTCGGATAACGAAAGAGAAGATGCTGTACGATCACTTACCCCTTGACCTCGATACACAGTCAATATCTCACCATTGTTGATTGCTCTATGAAGATGTTCAAATTGTTGATGAAGATCATAAATAAAGAAGTTCATCTTGATCAAAATTTCCATATCTTGCTAAGATAAAACTCGATTTAGCCTTGAATAAATAAAACATTTTGCGTGTATTCCATCAGATCGGAGATGAATTGGTATAATTTTGCTTGAATTTTTCGATTACACATAATTCTACATTATTCTGAGCATAGTAGATTCGACAAAAACTAATAAAATCTTCTTTCGTTTGTTTACGAGTATAATGTCTTTGAGTAATTGCAAGTATATGAATGATGCATCAAGATGATTATTGAAATTTTTAATGTTTATGGATCGAGCGTCTGAATAGAAGTCAACTTCTGCTAACACTGTTTTATATCTTCCTTGAATTGATTATAAATATCTTGAATATCTGTAAAGATACCTTTGACTTTACGATGTTGTTTCTTTGTAGCCCATTATTCATGTTTAGGTTTTTTAAAACAAAACATATAAATTAAATCAAGTTTAATGTCATATTAAAATGTTTGAATATCATCATCCGTCCTATTTCTGTGACAAAGTTTCGAATCCACCCAAATAATGATAAAATTTTCAATGAACACAAGTTTCTTGTTGTTGATGAGTCATGACTTATTTATATACGTCGATCGTTGCTTTCGTTATCGAAAGAGGGTTTTTTTAAACATACTTTCTATCTATTTAAATGATCAATCAAAAAAAATAAGAAATTATGTTCCATTTCACTGAGACCATCATCGTCAACGAATCAGAATAATTAATGTCAAGTAACCCATCATGTGCATTTTTAGTGTAGAGTCACATGTATACGTATATTTGTGTGATGATTTTTTATGAAGTGTTCCTAAAGGTAATTGAAATCAGGAAATTTGAGTTTGTCATCCATTTCTCAAGATTTTGAGTTTGATTCTTCTCATCAAAGACGAGATTTTTGTAATCATCCACCTTCTCGTGATGGCACGATGTATTGCCACCTATATTATCATCTTATCTCTAATTCTTGTGTGTTTCTCGCTGTTTTATCATTTCTTCACACTCATTATGCTGATGTACTTGCGTTTCCTTTAATTACAGTCAGAGAAAAATAGAGTAGTGAGTTGCAGTTGTATGCTTGTGAGTCTCTAAATTGTGATATCGTATATTGATCTAACGTAAGTGTTATAATTATACAGCTTACATCTATATATTATATTTATTTACTTGTTCCTTTCTATAATACAAAATTATCGAAACAATATTTAGTTAACTTGACTGATATTGATTAGCTGACATCGAACTTGCCGCACACCAGTGGATGTTGGTGTATTCTATTGTTTGCAGTCTACAATTACATCGACTCTCGTACCCACATCCTGTATACTAGGATTTTCAATTAATGACTTATTAACTGTTTAGCTCACCGAGAATAGCTTTGGCCAAGTTTCGTGTCTTAGTTATAACTGCGACAACATTGCTTGTGGAAGTTATAACTTTAGCACAATACATATACTTTCATTTTCTCTTTTTTGATAAACATACATCTTATATCTTACTTATCTTTATAACTATCGTATACGAGAAGGTTGGAAGACACAAAAAACTAAACAATTAATGATCGAAATATTTATCTTTATTGTTTTTCAGATTCATTTGCGAGTGTCTCGGACGTCACATGCATCGAATGTGATGGAGTGACATTAGAGTGCAGAGCAAAATAGTATGAACGTATAGATAATGCAAATATACAAATAATTTTGCAACTCACTGTATATTTACCGTGTGCAAAAGAGTTGATACACAACCTATTTGGTTTTGATAAATATGGTATGATAATATACTCACGATAAGAAAAACAATAAAGCATAAGAAATGATGTATATCTAACATTGTTTCTTTTGGTCTTCTATAAATAAGAATCCATTTTTTATTTATTACTATATACAGAGAACACGATTTATAAAAACAAAAAGACAACATGTTCTACTGCGTAGTTTTTGCTATTATTATAACTGCTGTGAATGGTAAACCAACAACATCATTGAAAAATGAACCAGAACGTTGTTGTATACCAACACAATTCAGTTCACAATTAAGTACAGCAACTAGTATGGTATTTCCAGATGGTACTACATTCGCTTCATATGTAAATAGTTTATTCCTAAAATAGTTATACTTCAATCTGTATTCGATTTATTGAATAAATAGGCATATTATAATTTTTCATATGATTCAGATCGTGGTCTAGTTGGAATGAAAGGTGTATCATTTTCGGTACCAGATCAACAGAAATCAGATGTATGGATAATTGAAAATATGAATGATGGACAAATTTATGTCATAGATGAAGATGCAAAAAAATGTTATAAATCAACAATGCCAATTAAACCATTTCATTGTATACCAGGTATATAAAACCTGATCTTTGCTCATTTATGTTTAAGAATACGACTGTTTTATTTTTTTATTTCATTATAGATACAGCAACTTATGTACATTCATTTACATATGGGTATGGTGACAAAAAAATTATTGGTGATACATGGCGTATACAAAAGGACGAAGCAGTAGATTATGCAACAGTTAGTCGTGATGGTCGTTGTATTCTATTGACTGACAATACTTTCTTTCAAAACCCTAGTAAGTAGATAGATAAGTTTATGTTCTCAATAGGATTTCCTCTTTGATAATTTTAGCTGTGGTAGATGCAATGACAACAACAGATTTTGTAGCACAAATTGATGATCCAAGTATATTTGATATACCGGCAGAATGTAAAAATGCCATTTAGCTTGTACTTTACCTTCCGAAAACAGACACATACATTCACATAAAAATTCCTTCTACGTTTGGTTTTTTTTTATATGTAATTTTCAAAATGAACCCAAACTTTGCATGTAACTATAATAGATAATAATTACTATCTGCAAATCCATTAAAATCATAAGCATCTGGATATGGTTGTGGGTGTGAATGTAAGAATGAGTAAGTAGACCAGCCACACCCATCTTTATCAGGAAAACAAATTTCAACGCAGTTGGGGTAAAGTATAATAAAGATATTCAAATTTTTTATTGTCAAGATATTATGGAGCCTTCAGTGTCGTGCTACTAATGATAATTATAAAAAACTAACGATATTATGAGTATTTTGTCGAAGAATTAGTCGCAATACTTGTTCAATCCATTCTTTGTACTACATTTGGTCAAGGACGAATTATATCTTTAAATTAATCTAAAAAGGATCAGTAATGATACTTCTTCACTTTAATTACATATTTACACTGTTTGGTGTAATTTATGCACACATAGTACTGCATGTGGATGAGGGCGCTGTGATTATAGTAAAGAAGAATCCTTCTAAAATCTGAAAAATCAAGTTTGATCTGTAAGCTCAAATTCATTGAACTTCTTCATGATACTTTCAGGAAAGACACATTAATTCGAGTAACTACCTACGACTGTATGAAAGCGTTTCACAACCAACACATCTAATGAATTGATTATTATTTTTTTTCATATTGGCAAATTCTTCTGTAGCTGCTAAGTTTAAACAAGTTCTTAAAGATGCTATTGCTACCGAAGGCGACATCTCAGCTGATTCGAAATGATTATTCAGATTTTGTAAATTTGTCTTTCCTTTTTTTTTGCTTTTTCTCACGTGCCTAAGAAAAGGTGATAAAGCTTTCTTCCGTTCTGCTTTTAGTTTGAGTCACAGATAAAAATACTTTGTTTTTTCACAAACGCATATGATTATTCATATCCTTCTTAGTAATTGTGTTTCAAAAAGTTTTCACTATAGAATATAATTATTTTCTCATTATCAAACAACATAATAATGTCTATTGAGACATTACCCGTAGAATTATTCCATTGTATTTTGGATAATCTTGACACAGAAACAATCGTTTTCTCAATTCGACATGTATGTCGATTATTTCGATCGTTTGTTAAAACTTATGATCGATATATTGTGAATTTAACTTTGATTTCAAAACGAAATTATTATCTTCTTTGTCGATTAATCAATCCACATCATGTTATATCATTGAAACTTGCAAACGAAGAACGAACAACAAATCAAATAGATTTGTTTATTTCACTTGTTCGTCTTCGTCAATTTACTCGACTTCATTCAATAACTCTTCTTAATATTAAGGAATATCAATTAAATTTTATTTTGAAACGAATTAATCTTAATTTACTTACTGCATTTTCGTTCAATATTAACAGATACGATGATAGACGTATCAAAACAACAAATAAATACCTTAGATTAATCGTCTCTCAATTGAATTTTCGAAAAATGGAATTTAATTTAAATACTGAGAGATTATCGAAATTTTCATGGCCATATAATTGTTCAATTCAATATTTAGTTGTAAATGAAAATATAACTATGGATAATCTTTCGATTATATTTCAATGTTCTCCTCATTTGCACAAAATTATTTTGAAACAGAAGCTTGAAGAAAACATCGTCACAAATATATCATTAAAATCTACGCCTCAAATATATTTTCCACAGTTGACATCATTAACTATGGAGAAACTTCCTATAACCATCGCCATATTGGAATCATTTCTTTCATTGACACCATCACTTGTATATTTAAAACTCATTGGTGAACATTTTATGTTTGATGGAAAACGATGGGAACAATTTATTGAAATAAATCTACTTAATTTAGATAAATTTGAATTTTATCTTGATTATTGGAGTTTAGAGAAGAAAACTTCAGCAGATCTTGAGTTAATTATTGCATCTTTTCGAACTCCATTTTGGATTGAACACAAAAAATGGTTTGTTACTTGTGCATGTAATATCAAACGATCACAAACCATTTATCTTTACTCAGAACCCATATGCAAATCTTGTTTAAATTACGATGTAGAATTGCATCAAAATTCACTTTTCAATTATACTACGACGATGAACAATCATCAATGCATAAAAAATGATGTCAATTCCTTCAATGTATCTTTAAATAAAGTATTAGCCAATTATATAGACGAGAAAGTATGTTATTCGACTAGAATTATGCATTTCAATACACATAAAACAGCATGCAATGAGAATTTAGTTTTTCTTCGTTTATCATATATCGGAATAGCGAATGAACCAGCGTTTTATTTTTCGTCCTTCTCAGTCAGTTCTCGTTAACATTATCAATCAAAATAAAATAACAAAGATTAAAAGACTATCCTCAAACCTGCAAAGCACTGAAACTCTTAGATGCCTGACTAATAGGTATAGATATGCATCTCTTTATACACACGTGTTAATACGAGCAGTAATTGTATCAACCATCAGGGCTGACGTAAATATCACTAGAAATCCATCGATGATAATGAAAAATACTAAAGCAGACACAAATAGATATCGAATGAATATTAACTATCTGTATCAAAGAGTTCATATTTTTCATACTAAAAGCATACCTTATTATCTCAGTTTATTCTATTCGTAGATAGGATTAGACTTTATCAAGTTCTTTAAAAAGTAGATGGATTCGGTTAGATTCACTATCAATTTTGGAAAACTCAGAAATTTCATCGAATATCATCGAAACCCATTGCTTTTAAAAGAACTTTATAAACTCTGACACTATGTGAAAATAGAATAAATTCAGATAAAAAAAATTTTGATAGACAAGAATTCTGTATTTATGTTAACTACATAATGTCTTACACAACACAAACAATTTCATATTTTCAACGTACTTGAATATTTCATTCATTATTTGCTGAATGTAGTTTTGTTCTTTATTATGAAACAATCTGCCTTATTTTTTTTTGACACTGTCGTGCAACCTCGGAAGAAATGATTTTTGAGATTAAAGATACTGTAATTCCTGATAGAGAAAAGAATGCTTTATCTTTCTATGCTATTTAATCATACATCAACGAATATCATAATAATAAATGTGCCATATTTTTTGAATAACTTTTGATAGAAACAGAATAGAGAGAGTGGCACTTTTCAATGGTTAAGGGAGAGGAGATAAAGCTACATCAAATCGTGTATGATAGATTTTTTCTTTCATATGGCCTAATGCTTGTTTAATCAGTTTTCTAAATATGGAGAAAATGGTTTTGTTATTAAAAAGGAACAGTTAAAATTTCGTCGTGTTATCTAAACTAAAATAGTAACTGTATTTGAATACTTTCAGAAATCAACGACGAGTCAAATTATGTTTTCAAATGTAACTAAAGTCAATCTTCACTTTAACGAAGAGTGGCCATTACTCCCTCTTGAATATCTTTCTATTTTCATCGATATTTCTCGACTAGTTCAAATGACATTGTTTAGCTCTTATTTTACCGCATACAGTCAAAATGTGTTAGTGGACATTCGTCAATTCATTGAACAAGCTCATAATCTTTCTGCACTAATTATTCAAACTGGTATGTATAGATACAATTTAAATTTGGCAATAGAAAAGATACACGGTATTATTCCATATCATGTAAAATATTTGCGAATACCAATCAACAATACAGATCAAATACCAACAATCCTCAATCGATGCAATCATTTGACAACAATCGCATTTGATATTAGATATTCAAATTTCTCTGAAGAAATCATTAAATGGTTTGATGATAATACTATGAATTCCACATGTTGGAAAGATTATAAAATGGTTTCTGTATGGCTTGGCGCAAGAAAGATTCAATCAACTGAAATTAATCATGATCAAAAACGCATGAAAATTTCGTAGAAACGACTCAGAACTTTAACATATTGCGTTTCATTAACTTTCAATAATTAAGAATTCAGAAAATTATTTTCAAATTTAATAAAGTTGAACGTTACAATCTCATATGATATGGTCATTGTCTTCTTGAAATATCATTGTTTTTAAATATGTAACAAGTTGTTTTCAGTTTCTGAACTTACCAATATCAATGATGGGAGATTCAAACCATTTATACAGTAAAACATTTACTAATGAATATCTTCTAATTATGGGTGTGGGTGTGGATATTAATTTGCATGTGGTTGTTAATGACGAGATCGCCATCTATACCCCACACCTGGTTTTCGATAACTGATTATCCTCATATCTTTTGAACTCGAGAATCAACACTTGATCTGTGACAACTAGACATCGGCGTGACCAATATTTTTTGGTCACGGTTATGATAGTCACGCCAGTCTCGATTGGAACGGCTATTTTCTTTTTCTCAAAATAGTGTACCCTTCCCTCCCAGTAGGAGGCTCCTATATTAGAAGATTTTCCATCATAGAAGATCCCTTGGAGAAAATATGTGTGATACTTAATATAAGACCTCATTCAATTAATTAATTTGTCGAAAAATGACAACTTCAGTTACTGGATTTACACCATAATATGCCTAGTTTTCAGAAATTTGAGCTGAAAACCTCAACTGAGTGTTTTCAAATTTTTATCTAGGCTTTTAAAATCCTAAAAACTCTTTCTCAACGCCTCAAAATTGCTTTGGCTTTCTGAAGAATCTTTTTAGTTAAAAAACTGTAAAAACAAAAAAGACACAGCAGAATATTCCCTGGAAAACTTTTGCGGGTGGACAAAATAGAAAACCTTGGACCTTCTCGTGCGGAGGGGCCAGAAGTAATATAATAGACAAACGAACAATATTACTTATGAAAAAAATTGATCAATTTATGTTTTGGAGAAAAAATCTTAAAGTTCTTGAAACTTTATTTGGCCAAAGTTTGAATGAAAATGAGCGAAATCAGAACAAATGGAAAAATGATCAATCATCAAATAAGACATCTGATAAAAGTTTAAAAAGTCGAAAATATATGAAAATGACATTATTCTTGTTTTAGAAGACGATAATATTTTTTATTGGTACATTCTTTTCTAAAGTATTTCTGTGCAAACTGTTTAAAATATATTAATACTGAGAAGATTTTTTCTGGTATTGTGGTTGTGTTTATTCTATTTGTTCGTATTGAGTTTGCACAATTAGAAAAGGATATTTATACATATTGAAAGAGTACTAAATATGATATTCAATTCTCTAATGAAGTTTGAAAATAACTGTCATATAGTTACATTGAAATTTTATTGTGACTGACCGTGACTAGGTTTTGACCATGATCACGTCACGGCGATCATGCCGATGTCTAGTGACAACAACGAATTAGAGAAAAATTAATTTCAATTATGGTTTATTTCCTTCCATATCGAATGAATACTTGGACTTACGACTCGAAAAAGAAATCAAGCACTCTCTACATTTATGAAATCAACCATGGACAGGGCAGTTCGTCATCATTTTTTTTCTTGTAATCTCGAGTACAAAATCATGCTCTCTTTGTAAGTGTCATTTAATAGTTGCCTTTTACAACGGTACTTTCACTTGGATCGTATTCTAACTTGAGACTTGAATATGGCTCTGTGAAATTGCAAGTACTTTGCAAGCAATTTGGAGACTAACATAGACAATCGATGAAGACCAGTACACAGTAACTGAAACTTTTGTGTTATTTGAAAAGGATCTGTGATGTTAGAAAATCAGAACAAAACGGCGATAGATGATGTTATTTCGATTTAAACAGACATGAAATGTCGAGAATGAATCAACTGTATACAGTTAACGATCAATAAATATTGGAAGGATTTTTAATCAAAATTAAAGGTTTTGATTTAATGTATTCACTTGACAATTATCACAATATGGATTAAATAGTCTTGGCTGGCCCTAGATTTTCATATATCTTATGACTCAAACAGCTATCTGAGAAAGACATGGCCTCCAAGAAGAAAACTCATTTCAAATTTAATACAAGTGATGTGTATGTTAGAGTGCATTTTATCTTAGACTCATTAGGCTACAGATAAAGAGGATTTTATTTTTTAAACGATCATTCCCTATTTACGGATACTTTTTCGTTCTGAATTCAATCACCATTACATAATTTCATATATCTCTAAGATCATATTCACATTTTCCCTTAATTTGTTGGATTCATTTAACTTATTACCACAACTTGCGAAGACTATTTACATGACATCATCTTGGATTGATCTTTCAAATTTACAAAAATCATTGAAATTCAATGAATTTTAACTTAATTTCAATACTGAATTATATGATGCTAAACCATTACCAAGCAATATTCAAAAGACGCTTGATGATATAGGGAATGATTTATTAAATCATGCTGAACCAGGAAAAGTTTTACTTGATGAATCGAAATTTCGTTTACATTCAATTGATACAAAAATTAATAATGAAAATAATTCAATTCAACTTGTTCTTAATTTAGGTTTAACTGATTATAAATTATTTATTTGTACTCAACAACAAGATATACCACAAGAAATTCGTCAATATATAACAGAAGATCATTTAGCACATCCTCTTGGTGTTACATATATTCTTATAACATCTGATAATTATCTTGTTTCAATTAAACGAAGTTCTACTTGTGCTGATCTACCAAATACGTATGAATTACCTGGCGATCATGCTGAACCAAAGAATTTGAAAACATATACTAATGAAAATATCGTTAAAGAAATTATCTCATCAACTATTGATGAATGTATTAATGAAACAAATGTTGATAGAAATAGTCCTCTTATTGATTCTGATTTTTATATTGTTGTTCTTATGCGAAGTCAAAAACATTATGGTCGACCAGCTTTTGAATTTTGTCTTAGAACAATAATGACATTAAGTGAGTTAGAACAACGTTATAATTTACAAACACAAAATGAAGCATATGAAACAAATGAATTAAAATCTTGGTCTATCGCTCAAATTTTTGATCTTTTAAGTTTCTCGAATATATCAGTACCAATTAATCCAGCTGGTCATGCTGCTTTAATTGCATAGATTTGTTTATTTTGTTAGAAACAATAACTCTGATCAAAATAGATCTTGTATTGATGCAATAGTATGAGTGACGAGAAATTCGTAATATATCAGAGTAACAATTTTATATCAAAAATAGAGAAAAAAGGATTCTGATCATTGTCTATGATTCTGTAGTTAGAAAGCCTGTATTATACTGGTCTATAGCTCTATAACTATGTTCTATTAGATTGAGATGATCCAAGCTTGACGAGAAATAGTAATGAATTTACTAATTTCTTTGCATTTATATAAAAATCAATTAACAAAAAAGAACTGTTCATCTTACAACTCGAGTGACTGATGAAAGTTCTTGAAATCAACAGAAAAAAGATAAAATAACATACAATTACAAACAGATATAATACTTCGTTATCAAAAACGGAATGAACAATAAGTGTACATTATTACAAAATGTGCTCGATGAATTGTGTAAAACCATTTTCCATTTATCATGACTGACTTAATCTGAAAAGGTACTAATGATGGAGGTGTTTGTGTTGTCAGTTAAAGAAATGGCTCATATTCTGGTCAAATGAAAGCTCTCACTGCCAAACTAACAAGGTTAAAATATTAGCGGCTGTTGGCTTGCCTAAAGGGAGATATTTGATTTTTACGGTACTCATGGTTTGGGTATGTAGGAACATTAGGATTATTTACATGAATTTTTTATACAATCAACTGAGTATTTCAATAGTAGACCACAAAAATCTTTCTGGAATTTATCAATAGTATTAAGATCATATTAGTTTCGATGTCTTCTGAAACTTAAGTAGTACCAATATGGATAAAGCTCAGTTATCAGTTATCAAATCTTTAACTCACCAATAGTTTCGATTTTATTTCAAACTGAAAACAATAGATTATATAATACACCACTTTAAGGATGTAGGGTGTAGGTGTTGATCTTGTCTTCACCCATACCCTGTAATTGGTTTCTGAATTCAGTCGGCTCATCTCAGATTAGTGTCATTTGTTTCCAATAAGCTACAGTCTTTAGTTTTTGTCTATAACAAGTAGCTATACAGACCGCAATAAATCTGTTTCCCAGAATGCTTGATGGAAAGAGTTCTATAAACTATGAAAGATACAAGTGAAAACAAATATTTCAAATGATATTCAGTATAGTATGTGACAATGACTGTAAAGGAAAAATTCAAGACGAAACCACTTGGAGATATTTTCTCACTGAGACAAAATATAAGTAAAGTTGAGCTTGCAGCTTGGTTGATGGCATTGTATAGCGAGCAATAAGAAGCGTGTAAAACTTTTAAGAGTTTTACAGTTCATAGATGAAAATAAAATGCTATACGAAACCAATAATAGCCGCTGTACTTTAGAAAAAAACACGCTGGTATAGTGCTTTTAAGCCAACGCTCCTTTCATATTAGAATGCTGTTGAGAGTCTATCTGTGACAAGTGATGCCGATTAATGTACTGGCAAAAAAATTCATTTATTTCGCATATGTCAATGGGCAATGTCTAGGTTATTTGTCTTCACAAAATAAAAATTCTAGATTAAAAAGTACTGTGATGAAAAACAACTGTTGTTTTTTGTCGAAATCAGACATCTTCCAAGAAGGCCTCTTTTTGAGCGACAGTTCGTAAATCAAATGCTCGATTTGTTCGAATCTTTTGACGAAATGAACTGTTTGACTGCTCTTGCCGTTGTTGGTTTTCAATCACTCTCTCATGTTGATTGTTACTCTGAGACGAACTTTTTCTGTTAATATAAATGAAAAAATGGAAAGTTTCATAAGAAAAAAACTTTTGATAACATAGCGTAATCATTAAAATGATCAGTAGAACAGTAATGGCAAGAGAGAACAACGTAACTACAGCAATAGCAATGGCCAAGAATGTCATATAGTTCGATCCTGACAATATGTGAGAAAAAATGAGACCGTTCTTTGTTCTGAAGCGAAGTCTTCGAAATTACCTGTGTACCAGACGTTGATGATACAGAGTTCGATGCTCCAGTACTTGAAGTTGAATTCGACGTCACAGCTATATTGAATAGAAAGTAAAAGATATAATATCTGTTATTGAAGAAAGGACAGTTTTATGGTCAAAACGATTTGAAAAAGTTGTAATACGCGTAAAATATCAGTATAGTTTAAATATATCTAGTGTAATGATGATAAAGAGTCAAACAAAGGAATCTACGTTGTAATAATGGGACGTATCAAAGAAGGAGATAGCGAAAACATTTATTTATTTTATGTTGCGACTGATGTTCTTGCTCTCAGATAAACGAATCAAAAGAACGAGATCTTGAATATAGAATCTCAACTATAAAGTCGGAGCTTGTGTTCCTATTGTTCAATTACTCACTTATCATCGCACTTGTACCACTCAATGATGTACTTATTGTAGTATTTGTACCATTTGACGATCCAATTGTCGTCGGATTTGTAGTGTTCAATGATGCACTTATTGTCGTATTCATGATAGCTAATGATAGCTTATCTTATATTGTATGCTGATTTCAAAATCTACTCACTGGTCGTAGAGCTAACCGTCGTGTTCGTCGTTGTCGTTGTTGGTGCTACAAAGGATAAGGCATAATATCGTTTTTATTACTCTAAAAAACTTACATATAAATGTTGGAGCAGTACAATTGAAACCAAGGCCAGACGAACACGTTGCTATATCAGTATTGCACATGTTCGTAAGACAAAAGCAATAACAAGCAAAATATGTGACGTTATTAGCCATAAGAACAGGTAAGGCAAGAAGCACCTGTGTACCTGATTCAAACAAACGGTATGTCACACCGGTGTTAGTACTGAAATTTGCAGCAACATTCGAGAGTATAACATTATTGAGTTGCTGGTAAGATTCAACTAATCCGTATCCAACTGAGTAGCCATAGACATAGTATGGATCATAGTAGACAGAGCACAAAAATATTTGAAGCGAAATAGCTCGTATAATATGCTTGATTAAAACCACTCCAGTGGCTATGCAACGTACACATTGTGTACGTTGAAGGTAATGCAATGTCAGCGCAACTCAATGCTGTAGTGAGATTTGGAAGAATCCATGGAGCTAGAGTAGGGATGGTGTTCGTTGTTATACTCGTGTTAACCATTGCTTAACACATCGGATAAGTGAACGTGGTGGTATTCAGGTAGTAACCTGTAGAAACACAGATTTCTGTATAATTCCAAAGCAAATAGGGTCGAGTTGAACAGATTCCATACCCGATAGGATTAGCGGGCGAAAACATTGACCCTGAACAATTTCGCGATTGCATGAGAGCTATGTACATGTTCACCCAAGGACGAACAGTTTCTATACGCATGTCCCAAATAGGATTCGTGCTGTTCTGAGAGTATCCTATCTCTACTATTGTATACCAGGATTGGTTGAATGTAAGGTTCCAAGCTGTTGGATTAATAGGAAAGAATGCAGATACCGCTGGAATAAGAATTAGAAGAAAGCAGTATGGAGAAAGCATCATTCCCAGGTCGATCGTTCCGGCCACCGGATATTGCAGGAACCGGCAGGAAAATGCGGGAAAAATCACCGTATCCTGCAGGAAAACACCGGAAATAGCCGGAACATGGAAGCAGTAGTCCGGCCGGAAATTCTCCGGATTTTTTCCGGTGAATTCCGGCCAATTTCCTGTGTTTTCCGGCAGGAATCGAGCGGAAAATCAGCGGAAAAAATTCCGAAAATTTCCGGCCGGAATACTGCTTCCATGTTCCGGCTATTTCCGGTGTTTTCCTGCGGGAACCGGCCGGTACTTTTCGACCTGGGTTACTTCTTGAAAAGAGGAATCACACAAATGCACATACACGAGAATTGACGTCTCATAATATAAACAGTTTCAATCTTTGATCCTTTTAAACTGTGCCCTGAGAGTAATTTTCAAAATTGTTGTTCTAGTGGCAACCTTTTCTACTTACCGTTTGCGTTGGTCTGTATACACAAAGAGAATAATTTAATATAGAGTTTTCGGAGAAAAAGAATCTTGTGCTGAATGATTCGCAGAATCGAAAACATTCATAGAAACAACTTCTATTATTAAGTCAAAATTCTACAAAGCCTTTGTGCATAAATGTGAATGCGAGAGTGAATGCGGGTGTGATGTATGTTTATGTACAGAGTCTACACTGGAACTTATTATTCACACCCACTGACGATGTGGGTGTGGGTGCGCTGTATGTGTACGTGTTGCAGAATAGACCATCCAAACCCACAGCCTTACATTCACACTCATACCCACATCCACACCCACACTCACACCCCCACACCCCACACCCTTTCTAGGCACACCTTAAGATAGCTAAACATTTGAATTTAGAAGTTTTTGATGATGCTCTTTCGTTTGAAATAAAAATAAATAGGGATCAAATTTTTCGAGAGTATGGTTCTTTTAGCCAATGTTCGATATTCTCATGGACCGTCTCTCAAAAAGCCACAGATATTACTGTGAGATAGTTCTCAAAAAGTTTACAGATACCATTTCTTGGTAGTAAAATTAGCAATTTTGTTTATTTTCCGCTTATTTAATCGAGAAACAGTTTTGAAAATATTTTGGTAAACAGTAGCATTTTCAGTGTATAATGTTGGACTAGAAAGCCAACATTAAATTTAAAGTATTATACTTCACTTCACTTTACTTGCTACAGTAAAGAGAAAGTGGCATCCCTAGATATTATTTGAATTTTATAGAAATAAATGAATATTGAAGAGAATAAAATGATTTTTTTCTCAACGATCAACAAAGAATAACTTTTTTAAAGAGAAGAAATGTTATTTGAAATTCTATCTATTTCATTAAAACAATTGAAAGATAAAATGAGTATTGATTTAAGACAAAAACTCGAAAATTGATTTGAAAAGTTTAAACAAAAGATTTATCTACTATAGAAAAACAATATAGGATTTAATCATCTTGAACAAATGCGTTTATATCTATCGAAATTTTCGTTTTGTTAACTGATAGAAGATTTTGTAAAAAATTCTTTTTAGAATATATTTCAAATGAGAAGAACAATCGATAAAATATTCTTTCATTTATATTGATAATCAAATATTTCATTTGAAGAATTCTTGTTTTCTTTGTTACAGATTAAGTTTTCTGCTGATAATAATAAGAGCATTAATGTCATTAGAGAATGGATAGATGATATTTCATATCTCTTGAAACAATAAATCGGGAATAAACGTTTCTTTATTATGACATTTTTTTCATCAAATCGATTTCTTTTTTAAAATATATTCATTAATTTCGAAATACATTAACACAAATCTATAGAAGACGATTAGATTTATTATCAATATGATTATCAAATATTGAAGATAAATAGAAAATCATTTCATTTATTTTCTTGACACTTTTTTCTCGAGAACAATAATATTTTTTTCTAAACCAAGTTCAATAAGATTTGAGAATTGATGAATCAAACAATATCATGGAAAAATAAATTTTTTTTTCTTTCAGTTGAAATTCTTTCTCCAAACAATGAATAAACTATTTTTCAAATGATAAAGCATTATTTTTCAAAACTCTCTTCAGAAAAAAATCTTTATTGGAAAGATATTTCGATTAATTATTAAATAGAATTAAAATTATTGAAGAAAGTCATAATTGAATGAAATAATATTCCAATCAATTGAATCTTAATCAGAAGAAATTAAAAAATTTTATTTAAATAAAAATGATTCTATCATCAAAAAATCAAATATTATTTCAATTGAAAATTTTATTTTCATCACTGAGTCAAATATAAAAAATTATTTAAAGAAATATTTATTCAAATCGATATATTTCAATATCGATTCGAAACATTAAAATATATAGATATGTACTATTTTTCTCGCCGAAATCACTTTTTTCAAATTAGTTTGACAATATTCAATATCGAAATTTATCTTCGATTCGATTGTTAATAGAAAAAACAAATAATTGTCTATCGTATATTCAATCAAGATTCGAAGGAATCCGTACAGATCATCGATACAATTATTGCATTGATCAATTTTATCTGTTAGTATTATTTTCTGATTATTATCGTAGATGTTCTCGGTCAATAAGCACTGAATATTATTCTATAGGGTTTATTATTATAAATAGTCGTCACAAAGCTGAAGAACAGTACTGTTTGTTGTAAGCTCCTTCGTATTTGTCAAATTAAAACAAGAAGTTTATGTTCAAGAAAATCGCTTCGTGAAAATACAAACTTCGTTTCCACAGTTTGGCGATATGCTTGTTTCGAAATAAATTTGAACTGTTGTTCAGAAATTCATCTTTTTCATTGGATGATTTATGTTGGACAAAGCAGCCGAGCTACGCGGCGCATAGAAATCAATTAGACACACAAACGAATCACAAAAAGTTCCAGATCACTCAATAGAGAAAATAGTGAACCAATCAGAGCATTAGAAGAATATAAGCAGATATATTTCCTTTCTCTTAGTACCGATGACCTCGGCTGATTATTATCCCATGAAAATTGCCGATTAGCTGGTCATAGCAGCAAGTTCGACGGCCATTGTTGAATTCGATGATAAATAGCAACATTCCCTGAACGAACACGAAAAATATGGCGGATTATCTGAGTACATTGCCTGTCGAATTAATTGACAAGATCTTTGACAATATCTCCACTTTTGATATTCTCTCCTCTGTATCTTTTGTCAACAAACGACTTCGTTCTGTATCGCTTTTCTATTCCCGTTTACAATTCGACTTCAATTCGATAGCCAAAAAGAAGAATCAATTCGATTCATTTTGTAGTAAATTGCCCGATTTTGCGTCTCGCATTGTCTCATTGACATTTGATGATGGTATATTAGTAAACCATAAGATACAAGTTTTTTTACGTTCAATTACTTCCAACGACATGTTTCTAAATTTGCATTCGATTAGTCTCTGTCGTATCTATGCAAGTACATGGAACTCGATTAGAATTCGACTTCCATTGTTCGTATCGTTAAGATCAATGTCTATTGTTTCTGTTTATGATGGTGAAAATTCGACAGCTGCCTTGATATCACTCATTTTCAATGATCTCCTATTCAGTGTTCGATCACTCACACATCTCTATCTCAATACATCGCCTGGTTTCTCGGAGGCTACGATAAACATTACGTCTGCATCTTCAATACAAACATCGAATCTGGAATCTCTCACACTGGAAGGTATTATAATTGACTTGCATGAGCTTTTTACAGTGATACCCATGGTAAGCAAGCTCAATGTATTAGCTGACCGAATTTTTCATCATGACATACTTCTTCAATCGCCTATGAATTTACGACAATTATCAATCAAGATCAAACGTTCAACCATGCTCGAAATGAAACGTTTGCTTTCGTCGATGACTTGTCTCACGCATCTTACTCTTCATATTTTTGGTGTTCTCAGTGATATGACAGATGGCAATGCTTGGATACCCTTATTAAGAAAATTAGTTGTATTCAAGTTCTTATTTAATATTATCAGTCCAGAAAAGATCAGTCTTGATTCATTTCGCACTCAATTCTGGCTCGTAGAGAAGAAATGGTATGTTACCTATGATCGATGGAACGCGTCTTACACATCACTTCTTTATACAAACCCATACTGTGGTACATATTGGAATCGATCTTTATATGTAATGGCAAGACTTGTGACAGAATCAACTGGATTGGAGCCTACGACTTGTCCACATGTCAACTATCTCTCTATCAACAATATATCAGAAATGGACGATGCACTTTGGACTCGATTCACTCGTCTTGATCACTTAGTTATTGAAGAAAATCTGAATACTGTGTTCGAATACATCGCTACACGTCTTGATTTATCATATATAACTAGCTTTTCTTATAATCGATCGGATAATGAAACACCAAGCAATGACTTTTTACGAATACTTCATAATTTACCACAACTACGCTCACTTAGCTTAACTGTATCGACTCTCCTCTTTCTTTTTGATCGTAAATGGCCTAAAATTGTCAATCTCAATATTATGAGTAGTTATCCATTTCCATCAGAACCATTAATATCCGTCCAGATCGATTCATTTTGGCGTTCGTTTAATCGTTTGGAAACAATGTCATTTTGTCGTGAAAGTATTCAAGATGTAGCACGATTATTCGATAACAGAGCAATGACACTCTCAACTGTAATGATTCGTCACTTTCGTACTCTGAATGATGATGATCCCCGATTGATCACATATAACTGGCTTGAGAAGAACACAAAATTACGTCAATTCGACTATTTTTGTAATGATGCACGAATTGTTTTCATGTGGATCTAGATTTATGCTTTGTTTCACATGTAAAAAAAGCTTCAAAATTTTCCAATAATTGCTCTTGTCATGTATTTCCTTTGAAGAATGAATAAATATGCATTCGCACTTTTCCCAGCGTAATTCAGGATGTGGATGTAGTTGAACAAAAGACTATTCGTACACCGGCATCCATACTTACCCACGCACACCCATTAATGATATGAGAGGTTCTAACTTGAAAAAGTCGGAATATGAAATTTTTAATTTGTACGATAGAATAATTTATGATAACTAATTGACACGTATTTCGGCTTTGAGTATCCTTTTTCAAAATATCTTGAAGGTTATATAATTATTTTTATTTTCTAATAATCAATAGATATGTCTAATTTATGTTTTTGAGGCATTTTCGCTGAAAATATACGCCGTTTTGCAAGATATACATTATTAATAACAACACGAGCGAAGATTTCTCGAAAAACCATTAGAAAACCAGGAACTTTTCAAAATTATTAAATAATACTTTTCAAAAGTTTAATATTTCGAAAAATATTAATTAATAAGAGGATGGTCTTCTAATATGGTCTTCTATTCTGGGAGGGGACGCTCGTTCGAATCCAGTTGAGAAAATCGAGATCCCAAAATAAGAAATGTTTTTTTTTTTGATTTTTGGTATATCCTTCCTTTTAACCAAGATGAAATCCAAATAATCTTATTAATTTGTGGAATTTCTCGATAGCAGTCGAGATAATTAAAACATCGACCACGCGGCCATCTCAGCAGTGAACCCTAGAACCAAGAAGCTTTCATTAAGTCAAGAGCTACTGGTATTTTTTGCAAGAATTCAGAGTTGTCTATATGAAGACATGATTTACAATATGATACATAATATACAAAGAAATAAAAGGTAAATTGCAATTTCAGAGCTTCAGTATTTCATTATTGTCGTCATTCTACACGTGCAATACTGCATGTAAACAAGCAATTGCAGAATCATGAAAATACTTGTAACACACAACAAACATAAATATCTAAGATGAAAAGAAAAATTTGAAGTATACGTATGTTCATAGTTTCACCGATGGTTGACAACATTAAACTGTCTTTTGATACATTACCAGTAGAACTATTCTACTAAATTCTTAATTATCTTGATGATTTCAATATTTTTTTTGCACTAGATCATCTTTGATGAAATAATGTGTCTAGATGATCTATTAATATTGAGCACGACATTGAGTTATCTGAAGATGTATATGATAATTATTTCTATTGATTCTAAACTAATTAAAAATTTTAAAATGAAGTTCGAATTAGTAAAACAACTTCTATTCTATTTATCTATATTAATGTTACATATGCTAAACGTCTTTTTTTATATGAAAGGAAACAAGAACATCATTTTTTTTACAATACTTATATTATCACATGACCAAAATGATTGCACAATGCATGAACAATTAGTTATTCAAACATAGTTATTTTCTTTGTGTTCATGTAAGTTATTTGTGTAATGACATCGTCATGCACGAATAGGTTGGTTTTGTCCAGTGCTCTTTTATTTACTTGTATGAAATGAAAAATATTGATAGATAATAAGATATACAAGCACATTTCCTTAGCTTTCATATTTTTTTTATAGAAAAGTAAAAAATATTATTTAATTAAAAATGAGTCTGTATATAAACTTTAAAAGAAAAGCTTAATATTATTATAAAATTAAAAACCGAGTATTATAAATGCTGCAATCATTTATTGAATGAAAATGAAAAAACTGTTTGAAAAAGTACTACGATGTCATAAATATATCTACGAAATATTAAATATTCTTTTTAAAACGAAATGAAACATTGTAAACTATGTTATTGAAGCTAATGATTTATTCAGATAACTTAATATAGTTCTTAACATTAATAGATCATCTAGACACATTATTTAACGAAATATGATCCACATCCAAAGCTATTTAATCAAAGTTTCAAATTTCTCACTTCCAATTTTCTCAAACTTATATCATTTTGACAGAAGGCATTTAAAATCATGATTAAACCATATATCAAATATAGAGTGTTTCTCTGAAGTCAGAATATGCAATGAAAATAGATCATAGTATATCCATATGTTCACATTTCTGAGATAATGTATTGAATAGAATCCAGATATCTAAATTTTAGACACTTCATATCAAAATCAAATTAGCCTAAAATCTTTTTTATAATGACTACTATATTTTCTGCTGATTGAATATGAAACTATTTTTTGTCTGAAATGACTTGTAATTTTTTCATTATATTAGATTTACTTTTTGCACTAAAAGACAAATATGGATAAAGAACAAGAAAAGAAGAATAATATTAATGAACCATAAATAAATGATGATGCAATGAATGTTTGGGGATTAAATGATGATGAAGAAGTCAAATACTGGCATAAACATTTTGATACAGGATTTTTTTAATAAAAGAAGAAAATTTATCTGAAATATCATTTTATATAGATAAAAAAAACAAAATTTAAAATTATATATAAAATATATTAATAAGAATGCATTAAATCAATTATACTGTACTAAAGATTATCAAACTATTGGTAAAGATTTAGTTATTGATATAAAAAATAATAAAACTAAAGGAAAATATATTATATCTTATGGTCCTTGTTCACATAGTAGTGTATTTAATGAAGTTTCTGCAGAAAAAAAGAGTAATTAACAGTGATCATAGTATCGGACTTGCTACATCGAATGATTTAGCCAATGCAATTGGTATTGATTTAAATGCAAAGTTTGAAAAACAATAATTAATATGATGATTTTTATTTTGTATTATAAAAATGATTTTCGTATACTAATATAGAATCAAGACTTTTGTTTTTTAATATGAAAATGTTTATTATATGATATCTAATAAATATAATCATGTATATATTGAGAACGGTGAAAAATGATGGAATAGAATAAAAAGCACTAATTTCCAAGCAAAAACAGTTTTTCGATTTTTTTCTCAAAAACTAAGATTTGTCCAGAGAAGAAGATAGCACATATGAAATCCTCATAAAATTCAGCATCGAATGCTGTGTGCTGTTTTCTTCTAAACCACTTCAAAAAAAAAGTGAACTGTTTTGCTATTTAATAAGAAGATCGTCCATCGTCGATTACTAAATGTGAAAACTCAATCAAGGAAGCGAAAGTAAGAAGAATGTGGCTGTCCAGGGTGTGTGGCTGTGACTCCGACTGTGAGTGAGGATCTGAGTGTGAGTGTGTTAGTGAAAATCTGAAAGACAACAACATCCACACGCACTGACATCCACCTACACCCACACTCGCGGATGTGACTGTAGGGTGTCATTGTTTGTGGATCAACAGCACATCCATACCCTCATTAAAAAGCTCTGATAGAACGATAGTTAGTTGTACTCAACTATTGTCTATAGGAAGTTTTTTTAGGAGCTCATATAAAAATTATAAACTTATTGAGCAGATGTTTCTCTTCTTCCTTGTCTCGTATCGCCAACTGATAGGTGGCAAATATGAATTATACACTGTTGGAAAGAGAAGAAAATTTCCTAACAATTGGTAAAAAACTATTCTTTTCATAACCTATTTATTGAAGAGATATAAAGAACGATATTTTGTGCGATCCTTTCATAGAAAAATTGTGGATCCTTTTTAAGGGTGCTTCTCTTTTCTGTTGCATCATTTCGTTTATGAGTGTGTTGTACACATAAGTTATATACGATTTGAAAGAGGAGAAAAAGCTCCATCTTTTGGTAAAAAAAGTTTTCTTTCAGCACACTTTCTATCAAAGAGAAAAAGGATCCAACGTTTGTCCGCTACTTTTGCGTCGTATGTTACAATGACGAACATTGATACCATTTTGTTTCGATAAGATAACTTGATCAAATATATTAGACATATTTTATTGATTATTTGCTTAATAAAAATATTCTAACTTATGTTCCCCCGTATAAATAGTCATTGAGCTCAGTAAAACTGGTTTGACATGCGAAAAAAAAACACATCTATTATCAGTTTTTTGAAAAAAATCATGCAAAAACTGGAAAAACTATAACGACCAGTATAGAAAAAGTGATGTCTACTGGCCGATATATCCGACTGGAAAGAAATCCTTTCCCGAACCCGCTGTTTATCGTTAACGGTTGTAACACTGCCACACTCGCACCTGCATTCTTGCTCTTTGAGTTGCTTTTTTTCTCCTACGCAAAAAGTAATGGGCAGAAAATTATATTTTATGGGAAGTATGACACCAAGTACTATTTGCTCTTTTCAGTAATAGTAATTACTCACCTTCTAAATATATACTTCTTTTTTCATTCTTTTTTTCACTGAATAATAGTCGCTTATCAGTAGCGTCACTTGAAGTTGTTTTCTCTTGTTCTCTTCGCTGCTTGTACATCGAAGAACGCAAGAGAATAATGTTCTGACTATGGCAATAGAGAATATATTTATATTTGACGTTCAACACACTATTCAGTACAGAATATATTTTGCCCAATGAATAGCCTAAGCATACCGTGCATAGTAAATGTTTGCCAAAACAATGGCAAATGCTTTCTTTTACTTAATACTACGACAACAACATATTGTTTATGTAATAGGTGTTTCACAGGTAATCAATGTGAAATTGAACAATATTCCAATAATCTTTGGATCTATGGTATATCAACAGAAAATAAAAAAGTTAATAATCCATACAACGAAACAATTGTGCGTAGCATACTTGGGATAATATCATTGGCAAGTAATCTATTATCATTGCAAACCTTTGTATTTTCAAAAAAAATACGTATAACAAATCTTGGTGTATATCTAATATTATATTCATTAACTGGTATAAGTATGAGTATTATTCAAACTGTATTTGCATTTCTGAATTTAACTCTTAATTTTAAAAAAGCTTCAAAAATGAATCATTTAATAGAATGTGCGTTTATATATTTACTTCTAAATTCATTAAATTACTGTCTTTATTGGCTATGGCTATACATTGCAGTTGAACGTATTCTTATCGTATATTCATTTGTTAGTCTCTATGATTCAAGACGGCGTTCAATTATTTTATCCATATTACTTTACATATTCATACCATTATCAAATATACTGCCTATTTTATTTGGTCGAAAAGGCTATAGTTATGATTCATATGATTTTTGTCTACTAAACTTTACATCAATTGGTTATACATTTTATTTAATATTCAATTATATTAACTATATGACATCCCCATTTTCATTTGCCTTTGCGTGTGTATTTATCTTTAAATATCTCATTGAACATCGTCGTAATTTAGTCAACGACGAATCATTCCGTTCATCATTAACTTTAATTGCATTCAAACATTATGACTTTTTTTTACTACCACTGATCTTCTGTCTACTAACCAGTCCCCATTTTATATTTGACAAACTGATGACTTGCTTACGAGCAGATTCATTGGAGGTATCACGTACACAGAGTGTAACACGATTATTAGCTGACAGTGCATTGGCAACTACATTTTTTTTCTATGTTTGCTTATCAAAAGTATATCTTCAAGAATTTTGGCGCACATCACCTTTTGGACGGTATTTTACTCATGTTAAAAAACGTATTATAGATTGTTGTAAGCCGAGTAAAGCAAAGACATATGCAATTCAACATTCGCCATCATCGTTATCGACTCATACTCATCCTCTTCCTTAGGTGAACTTTTTTAATATACATTATTTTAATAAACAAATTAAGTTTTTCACTTGAACGTTCAAAGTCCACCGAGCGCATACCCTGATCTCCTTCTCACCTATTTTTCATTTTTAATGCTCGTTCGAACATTTTAAACGTTGATGAAGAAGATTAAAGGATCATTCGTCCGTTAATATTAAGGATTCACGAGTAATGCAGATCACTTAATCCTTTAATATTAACGATTAGCTAATCCATTAATTGTTAATAATAAAGAGAACATTTTTTTCGTTAATATTGAATGGAGTAAGTATTGGCATCGATCGGATGAATCTTCTCTCCGTCTACACGAAGACTCAAAACCCAAGTTCACAACCGAACCCACCACACCTGGTAAATAAGAGAACCAACTTAATGTGGTTCATCATAATATTTATATGAAATCTTATCACCAATTATTCCGATCATGGACATTGAATCTATTTTTCATTAGTCAGAGATGTGCATTTTTCGTGAGGAAGGAAAAGGAGGCAATGCCATGGAACAGAATGTCGTCCCTCTCGACTCAAAGCTCCGTCATTATTTTCTTTTAAAAGTCTCAACATTTTTCAATGACAACTTGCGTGGAGAGTGTTATTGTGAATACAAGACAGACATTCACACCCACAGCCGCACCCATAAAATAACTAAAGTCTTCGAGAGTTTTCATTTTACATATTTTGTGGTAGTTTAACAAGGCTAAATAGTTTATGTGACTTCCACATATTAGCCCCAAAAGATCTACACTAACAAGCGTTTTTGGTTAGTGATAAAACTTTATTTGAAGATTTCTTTTTTCATATGAATAATATAAGCAAAAACTTCTGTTACGTATTATTGTTGATCTCACGAAATGATTTTTATCTATTGTCAACTAAGCAAAATACATGTGAAGCGTTCGATAGATAGTTTTCATTTGTCATTTCAGAGAATAACACAAAGAAATCAAAACAAACTTAATGAATACTACAACATTGACGTAAATAGAGCAAAGTTTTGGAAACAAGTTAGTTTAAAAATTAATGATTCCAATATTTTAAATTTTCAACCATAAAAGAGTAGTCTTGCAAGGAAATTCGTGATTGGCTGTTCAAGAGGCTTCAATTATATATTTTAGTTTTCACATGCAAATTTGGGCATTTCAACTAACTATTCCTGAAAGTTTGCTCTATTTACATCAATATTGTAGTATTCATAAACTTTGTTTAGACTTCGTCGTGTTATTCTCCGAAATGGCAACTGAAAATTATCTAGCGAACGCTTCACATAGTATTTTTCTTACTTGGTAGTAGATAAAATTTCTTTAATGAGGTCAACAATAATGCTTAACAGAATTATTTGTTTTCATTATTCGTATGAAAAGATCTGCGAATAAAGTTCTATCAAGAACCAAAAAATCAGCTCATTTGATTGAACAAGAGTGGAGATATTTGAATTTTTCATCGTCATGCTATTTATGGGACACTTTGCATATAACTCCTGTGTGTTGAGCACCCATTAGTTTTAAATTTTCATTTCAATGCGTGAGCAGTCGTTATTACTCTATTTATACACCTATCCTTTTTTAATTTTATATTAATATCACTTTAACATTTATGTTTCCGCGAACATTATTTGTGGACACTAAAGTATTGCTTTCGACGTAACGACCTACTATGATGATGACTTTTACAATTTTATAGGTCAGCTTGCCGGTCCATGTGACATAACATTACTCAAAATTCAAGATGTAGTTACAGTTAGCAGCACATTCGAGTAATTCTAGTGACGATTCACTCAAGAACACGTTCTGGAGCTGCTGGTTGGTCGGTTCCAGAGCTTGTAATCGATGTTTCAAGTATATTTTGACGAGTTCTATCTCACGATATAATTGAATTTTCCATAACTCGAACTATGTTCGAAGAAATCTCCAAACACGGACAGTACCGCTTATAAATAAACTTTATATTCAATTATTCGCGTGTAGAATTCCATCAGAATCTTGTTCCAAAA